ACCTCAAATTCATCGCTGCCACCCTTGGTGCGTCTACAACTAAGTTCCGGGCCCTCCTCGACATTGGAGCCATCGGTAACTTCATCACCGACGCGTGTGTCCGCAAAGCCGGTCTTACCTCTACCGGCTATGACTCCCCGATCACGATTCGCCCAGGGGACAAAGACACCGCCGTCGTAGTAGACCGCACGGTTCCCGAAACCATCATGACCGTCGGAACCCTCCGCAGTCAGGTCTCGTTTGATGTCATGCACTTCATGTGCGACATCGTCTGAGGAACCCCGTGGCTGGACCACTACATGCCATACGCATTCCACCCCAACTTCCTTCGCCTCACCACCCCCCGACACAACCATTGACATCCCCTATCTCCCATATCCGACCTCCCAAGGCTCTGTCACCCCGCACCAATTCCTCCACATGGCTCGCCTAAACCCCGACTCCACCTACTACTGTCTTGTCCTTGGTCGCGAAAGTCCCAAGGACTTACTCCCGACGGACAAACCCGATCAAGCCCCGCCCTCCAACCCCGCCATCACTTCAATCCTTGACTAGTTCAGGGACGTCTTTCCCGAGTCCTTACCCGTCGGACTACCTCCGGATCGTGGCCTATCGCATACCATCGATTTGGAACCCGGACATTCTCCACCTTGCCGCCCTCCATACCAGCTCTCTGTCCCTGAAGCCGAAGAAATGAAACGGCAACTCGGTGAACTCCTTGAAAAAGGGTTCATTAAGCCAAGTTCATCCCCCTTCGGAACCAGCTGCCTTTTCGTCAAGAAAGGTGGAACTTCCGCATGTGCACAGACTACCGCGCCTTGAACCGGATCACGATCAAGAACAAGTACCCCCTACCTCGGATTTCCGAGCTCCTTGATCGTCTCTGTGGAGCCAAGTMCTTTACCAAKATCGACCTTCGTAGTGGCTTCCACCAGATCCGTATCCGCGAGGAGGAMACYCACAAGACCRCCTTCCGCTCTCGGTTCGGGCACTACGAGTTCCTCGTGATGCCATTCGGACTCACCAATGCCCCCGCTACCTTCCAATCCACCATGAACCACATCTTCCGCAACCTCCTCGAAGTCTGTGTCATTGTCTACCTTGATGACATCCTTGTCTTCAGCCCCACCTTCAAGTCCCACCTTCAGCACCTCCGCCAAGTCCTCGCGATCCTCTAAGAGCAAAAATTCTACGCCAAGCTCAGCAAATGTACGTTTGCCACTTCGAGCGTCGAATACCTCGGCCATATCGTCTCCACTGAAGGCATCCGTATAAACCCCTCAAAGGTCACAGCCCTCGTCGAGTACCCCCCACCCAAGACCCTCCTCCAACTCCGTTCCTTCCTTGGCCTTGCCAACTATTACCGCCCGTTCATTCGCAACTTTTCCGAGATCTCGTACCCTCTCCACGAACTCACCCGCAAGGACGAGCCTTTCCATTGGAACGATCGCCGCCAACAAGCTTTCGACCTACTCAAGCAAACCATCACCACAACCCCTGTCCTCAAGATT